TTAAAAAAATAACGGAAAACCTTTTTACATATAGTATTAAATATTAATATAAAAATATTAATCTTTAATATCTTATATTAAGGTTTGGACTGAACAATTGTTGGAATCAGTTCATCAAAACTTTAAAAAATTATGGAAAATACGAAAGGTAGGACAACACAATGTCATATTCAATAAAGGCCTGCGAAATGCTGACTGCATCTACAAAACAAGCCCTTTATAGTTAAAGGGATACATATAAAATGTAAATTCTTAAGTTAAACGTAATATTTATGTTTTAGTAATTATTTCCTTTCAAGAAAAAAAAAAAAAAAAAAAGTTTTCCGAAACCACAACTGTATTTGTAAACTTATCTTATCCTCCTAAATAAAAAAAAGATAGCTAATATTAAAACCATTATAAGTTAGTTAATATTTTAACTAAAAAACCCAAATTTTATCAAAAATTATTTTTAAATCCGATCCACAAATTGTTGATCCAATAAACCAAACCAATTACATATTGCCATTTGATCCACTCTCAGGGGTCTTAGAGTGAACCAGAAGGGTAATAATCTCTAAGTTAAACAAGTATTGTAGCTAAGTTTTCTCAAAAAGCTACCATAAAAAGATTTAAATGTTGATAGTTTTGGAATGTACAAATGAACTACATGCAAAATCAAAAAAAATAATTCATGGGATATGATATAAAGTCTTAGTTCACCTTCAGGGTAACCGTGGACTCCGTAGCCAGCTCCACCTAGAAATATTTCAGCTCCAACTTCCGCTCAGCTCCATGTAAAAACACCGGCTCCAGCTCCTGAAAGCCCTGAAGCCTAACTTTGTTAATGACGCTATGAATATTTTCATAGATAATACAGGAATCAATATTACAGGAAGTCGCAAATGCCTTTACTACTGTAAATTTTCACACATTTGTGGAGTTTGCTGAACCTATCATAAAAAGAATTCTTTTGAATTAATTACTTATGCTTTTAAAAAAATATATTTTTTAAAAGGGGGATTTAATGTAACTATTATTTGAGCTCATTTATTTTTATAGTTTTTCAAGAGATACTTATTTTCATGCCTGCATTTAGAAATTAATTCCAATTTTTGTTTAATAAACATTCTTGGTTTGCATGTGTAATTATTTCAAATTTTTCTTGTTGGCATAGTATACATTTTTTGGAAATATTGTTTGTATGCAAAGTTACAACAATATTTCTCAAAAGCTTGTAGAAATTTTTTCCTGCATTTGTGCTAATGCTTTTGCTGAAAGGGGGTTAAACCAAATGATGTTGGGTTTACGGTTCTTAGCATGAGTTAAATTTAAGTTAGGATGATAAGAAAGCTTATGAATGAAACCTGATTTTAGTAATGCTTTGCTATACATTTCAATAGACTTTTAAAAATTTTTTCGCTTGATGAATTTACAGATAATCTTAACACAATAGAACAAGGAAGTTGTTTTAAATAACTGGGTGGATGGTTTGAATCAATGCGAATATAGCTTAAAGAGTTTCAAAGTTTGGAATATGGTTGGAAAGTGTGGTTATTGAGACTTAGCGTGATGTCTAGATAATTTACAATTTTCATGTTGCACTGTGTTGATATAAGAATATTGTTTTGCTTAAATATCAACAATATGTTTTTTAATTTTTTCTATTTCAGGTCTAATTCTATTTTCAAAAACTGCTAAACCATTATTTATCGATAATCTGCGGAGCTTGAACTAGACTGAGCAATGAAAGCCCACTGAGAAATATGAAACATCTCTATTAAAAAAATTTTTATAAATAAAACAAAAAATAAAAAAAACAACAGATGTTCAGAATGAACACAGATTTCTTTTAAGATGAAAAAGCTTCTACACAATCATAGCCAACAGTAATTTTATTGTAAATAATAATTAGCTCCATATGTTGAGCACTCTACTTGAGTTATCTTCGAAATGGAAAAAACTAACTTAAAATATTCAATCTAGAACATACCGATTCCATCAATAAAAAACTACAAATTATAATTAATTGAAAAGACCAAAACATTAATAAAAAGAATGAGATTGAAAGCGTTTTTGTTTATTAATAAAGATTTATTAATAAAAAAAAGTAAAAGAAATATTTTTTATAATAGTTACAGGATAAAAACATCAAATTACCAATACGTCTGCATTGAATGTGATCTAATAGAAATGATAAGAAATATTAGGTTTCGTAAAGTTTGTAGCAGTTTCCAAAGAAAATTAAAAGATGACACATCTAATATACAAAATTGTAATCTCACTTATACTTTTGCTGATAAAAATACCAAATTATATAACTCATCTAAAGAAAACTATAACCTTTTATTAACCAATGCAATAACCTCAACATACAAAAAATTAGACTCAAAGGTTAAAGACGATATGAATAAAAAAGGTAAGCAAAGAGTGATGGCATATGGTAAAACATGTTATTGGAATTTATATTCTTTTAAAAGAACAAAATTATCTTTAATATTATAAAAATGTTTAAAAAAAGTAACACCTATTAAGTGACTATTTAATAAAAAAAAAACAAGAAGCCGTAAAGCTCATTTTAAAACAGCTGTGATATATATATATATATATATATATATATATATATATATATATATATATATATATATATATATATATATATACATATATACATATATATGCTAAAATAAATTTTAATTATTGTTTTTTTAACTCTTTTTCAGGCAGCGAGAGGCAGACGTAGTTTTGTGGAGTTTCTTTTTAGAAACATATATACACATAGAATTTTTTTGAAAGAAGAAAAGCTAATCTTGCTTTATTAAAGAAATTTATATACAGTTACTAAACTTTTTAATCAATTATTTTGCTTCTGAATATTTGGTTGATGTTCTCACATGAATTTGTATTCGAAGAAATGTTGATCTGGCTTTTTTTTATTCAGACAATTTTCTTCATGCATTTTCTATGCACATGCCAAATTTCAATGAAAAATAATTGGTAGTAGATAGTTTAAAATGTATTATATTACATATACCACTTTAGGAGCCTTAGGCAAACGTTTTTGTTGCGTTTCTTTTAAGAAACATGTATAAACATAAATTATTTTTACAAAGAAGAAAGGTTAATCTAGATTTTTATATGACTTTTATGCATGGTTACCCAACATTTTTATGGATTATTTTGTTAACAATACTGCATGAAAATTTTGTCCCTGCTCTCACATTATTTTGTTGTCGAAGAAATATTGATCCGGCTTTTTTTGTTAGTTTTTCAATTTTTTTAAATGCATTTTCTTAGCACCTCCCAAAAATCAATGAAAAATAATTGGTAGCAGATAGTATAATTAGTGTTGGATTTTTGGTACCTATTTTCGTTTTTTTTTTTTTTTTATGTTAAGCAAAATATGAATAGGTGCGGCTAGGTGGGTTGACTCTGATATTATTTTGATTTTTATTATCAGATCTATAATAATGGAGCCTAAAATTACACAAAAAAGTAACACCTATTAAGTGATTATTTAATAAAAAAAAAAACAAGAAGCCGTAAAGCTCATTTTGAAACAGCTGTGATATATATATATATATATATATATATATATATATATATATATATATATATATATATATATATATATATATATATATATATATATGATATATATATATATATATATATATATATATATATATATATATATATATATATATATATATATATATATATATATACAGCTATTTCAAAATGAGCTTTACGGCTAAGTTTTTTATCTTAAGCAAAATATGAATAGGTGCGGCTAGGTGGGTCTGATATTGTATTATTTTGATTTTTATTATCAGATTTATAATAATGGAGCCTATAGATCAGGACTTACTAGACTCTTTAACAGACAGTAAGTTTAATATTTCTTTCATAGCAAAATCAGTTTCAGATTAAAACTTTTGCTTTTAAATGGATTGTTAACTGATAGTATCTGTTGACAATTTTGTTAAGACACCACATAAATTAGATACTACATTGGTTTATTCATAACAAAGGACTTTTTAGTTTTTTTCAAAAATTAAAAAATAATACTATTTCATCAATTTTGGATTGTAAACTACTTTATCTGTGAATTATTATTTTGTGAATTAAATTTGTGAATTATTAATTTATGCTTAGATCTGGCTAAACATGCTGATTTTTGAAGATTTCGTAAGTATAAATCAAATAATTTATATATAACTACAACTAGTATAACAATTAATATATAAACAAAGTGTGTAACCATTACTAATGTTAGCTTATTGCTTCTAAATATACTTTTTTATATCTTCACTTTTAGAATTTGTTAATAAAGTTGTTGCATCTTAAACAGAACCAACTTTTTGATTGTTAATTTTTTAACTTTGTAACAATTTCATAGTGTTTTTGGTAATTGTGCAATTTTTTTTTCTCTTTATTCCAATCTACACAGACTACCAATGGTAAATTTGTATATGATATCTTTTAGTAATGATTATAGCATAACAAATATAAGCCTGTATATTTTGGTTTTATTTATATTATTTTTAAACTTCACTCCTTTTATCAATTGCAACGGTTATTTTAAAAGTTAGTACTTTTCAATCTGTAAAAAGATTTAATACCAATTTCAAAGTTATCATTAGCAATATTGATTTTTAATTACTTTTTTTTACCTTCATCTACAACAAGTGGTAAGTTTAACAATTATTATTTTTTATTATGTTTGCATTTCTCAACAATTGCAAATTTAATTTTTATTAAAACTTTTTTGCCTCAGTTCCATCCTCAACTGTATTGAGTGGCAAGCTTAAAAAAAATTTTATTGTATCTTTTAAAAAACCTGTCCATATATGTATGTATTTCAGATTACTTGCAATATTTATTTTTCATTTCACTTTTTTAACCTTATTTCCATCTACATCTGCTATAAATGGTATGTTTACAAATTATTACTTTTCAATATGTTTATGCATTTCTTGGCAAACGCAATTTTTATTTTTTATTACAACTTTGTTAACCTTTAGTTGCTGCTACAAGTGCTAACCAAGCTGTGCCAGCTGCTACAAGTGGTAATACAAGTGGCTTCTAAACTTCTAAAAGGGATTGTAGTTTTATTGAATTTTGTAATCAGCCTTTTACACACCATGCACCTAGCGTGTCAATGAAACAAGCAATACATCTTAAACAGAGTAGTTCATTGGTTACAGTTGCAGAGTCTTTTGTTCTGACATCCCATGAACATATTTCTATTTTACCTCCAGTTAATTGAGAACCTGCAAATTCCATTGAAAATGAAGCAAGAATGTATACATCGAGAGTACAACTAACCCCTAAAAAAGCAAAACTAATCACCAGGTTATCATATTTATCTTTTTATTTAGTTAGCTCAACCAGAGAACACAGGAAAAAAATAGCAAAAGTTAAATTGAAATATAATAGCATGCCATATAAGCTAAAAATATTTTAAAAAAATATCAAAAGAAAAGAAGATATCATTAAAACTTTGAGGACAGAGAATTAAAAAAACAAATTAATACATATTATTACAGCAAGTTAATTCGCAATCTTATAGTGAAAACAAAGGCATTGAAAATAAAATAAAAAACAATTTAATGCAAATAAAAGTAAGACCTAAAACTGTTGATGCAAATAAAATGTTCATTGCTCAATTAGAAAATGACATGTTACAAATAAAAGAGGGGAAAATTCCAAATGTTGATATGTCAGAAGATGATAAGAGTTTAAAAATGAGGATGATAATTTATAGTATGTTATTAGATAATGTTCCAACAGGTAACATCGGAATCCTAATTTCAAAAATTGGCCAATACTTGGGTGTTAACTTTATGGATATTTCTCATCGTTGTACTATTGAGCAAATGGCTCGTGAGCTTGGCAGAACTGCAAGCAGCAGAATGGGCTATGAGTAATTATTATCTTACTCTAGGGTTTGATGCAACAACACAAGAAGGTGTTCATATCAACACAAGAAGGTGTTCATATCAACAAGGGTTTTGTTAATTTCGTAGACAATAATGAACTACTGCGAGGTATTATTCCACAGTATCAAGTTTTTTCCAAACTTGTTTCATTTTTATGAAAAACTATACTGATTGTCTACTTTATCTGACCACTGGAACAGTAAAATGTTTCAGTTTACAACCAATTCTGCAAGAAGCATTTTGTAATGCAACTTCTATAAAAAAAATGGGAGTGTTTGTCTATTTAGTAAACTTCTCAGCGGACCATGGATGACTAAGTTTTAAGTATCAGCTGATGATGTAAGTTTTAATCATGTCACTGGTATCCACGTAGTAAAAGATAGTCTAAAAGAAATTACTAATTGTAAATCTAATCCAGGCATCGGAATAAGGGTTTGACAAGAGAGCCTGCCTACTTTTTAAATTATCAAAGTTTTTTAAAGTTTATTATATATAATAGATTTTAGTAGTATATTATTATTTTTTAATATAAAAAGTTTTTTTTTTTAAGTAAATTACAAGTGTTTACAATATCAATCATACAAGTTGCTTTAGAAAAAATACATTACAATAAAAAACACATAGTCTAATTACATTTACTTAAAAAAAAAAACTTTTTATATTAAAAAATAATAATATACTACTAAAATCTATTATATATAATAAACTTTAAAAAACTTTGATAATTTAAAAAGTAGGCAGGCTCTCTTGTCAAACCCTTATTCCGATGCCTGGATTAGATTTACAATTAGTAATTTCTTTTAGACTATCTTTTACTACGTGGATACCAGTGACATGATTAAAAAAATTAAAAATTAAATAAAAAATTTACACTTGTAAGTAAGAAATTTATAAATCAAGAAGTATAAATATTTACTTATTTACAATAAAGTTAATGTAAACTTTAAATCTATCCAATCACTCTAAATTTTTTTTAACTTTTAATACATTTTGTTTTGTTTTAGGCATTTAAATGTCATTTCTTAAGTTGGTAAACACCCTTTTATAACTAATAAAAAATAATTGAAAATTTAATAATTAAAAACTTTATTTAAGAATATGAAAATTTGTTAATTTAATTTGAGAAAAAAACTTACAATTTTGGATTCTTCTACCAAGACACTATGTTGCATGGCGTGTGTAAAATAAGAAAATTCTAAAAAACAGCTTTTATATCTTATAAGATAGTAACGAAACAATCTTCAATTAAAATTAGTTAAATTTAAACAATAGTAAACACCAATTAATGGCGAAAGGTGAAGATATTTTTAAATCAGGAATTTTTTTTTTAATTCCCAGTAAAAATCTCATTTTACCGTCCGTAAATTAGGCAACGCAAAAAATATTTTAGGAGCGCTTTTATGGGGAACTTAAATACTTATTTTGATTATTTATTTAAATTAAGACTTTGCGAGGAAAAACTATTGATCTTATTTTGTTTTGTTTATTGTGAAATTTTATATTTAGAAAAGAAAAAATCATGTAAAGAATCTGGATTGGTTTATTTAATTAGTTCGATTATGTTCTCTTTAAATTTTTGAGAGGTTTTGGCTTCTTTAAGTTTACCACTTAGACTTGTAAAATGGTTCCATAGCATTGGGCCACGATAGGAAATGGCAAAGCTCGTAAGTTTTGATTTACGGAAAGTTTTTTTAAATCTTCCGGTAGATCGTGTGTGACATCGGTTTAATGTTTTATGGAAAATGTTTTCGAAAACCTTCCGCGTTTTTTTTGACTGATGTTAAAACATAAATTGTGTAATTTTGAAAATATTTAGTTCATAAATATCAAGTGCCCCCATGCTTTTTAGAAAAGGTTTAGAATTTGTAAAGCGATTTTGAAAATGAGTAATGCGTGCTGCAGGATTCTGTTGTTTGGAGACGAGTTTAGATTTATTTGTGCTACCCCAAACAATATTGCCATAAAATAAATAACTATTTATGAATGCAAAATATAGTTGAGTTAGTGTAGATTTGTCTAAGATTTGTCTGGCTTTATATGAAATGGCAATACTTCTTGAGATTTTATGGAAAAACAGGTAATACCGATAAAGGTCGATAAATTGTAACCAGACTTTCTTCTCCTGATTTATAAATGGGTGTAATAATTGCAACTTTCATTTTATTTGGAAAAACACCTGTTTTAAGCGATTTGTTAAAAATATCTAATAAAACATCTTTAACAAGTTCATAGCAGTCTTTGGTTATGCTTGCTGAAATAGAATCATAGCCTGTTGCTTTATTTATATTTAATTTTTTTTATTAAATCATCAAGTTCTTTATTAGTGAGTTTTATAAATGTTAGGCTTTTATTCGACTTTGATAGATAACTGAAGAAATGTGCAGGAGAAGGTTTAATTTTGCTGGCTAAGTTTGGACCAATATTTACAAAAAACTCATTAAATTTTGTTGCCACCGATTTTACATTAGAGATCTGTGGGGCGATTATTGCCACCGATTTTAAACTTTGGTTTTTAAACTGCGAATTTTCAATAACAGAAATTGTTTTATTGCTCAATATGCAAATAAATAAGTTTAACTTGTTTTGTTGTACAATTGTTGATACATCTTGGATGTAAAACAAAAAAATGAATATAATTTTTGCTGTGTTTGGAAAAATTGAAGAGTGACTTAAATGCATTCCTTCCAAATATATCAAGTTTTTGCATTAATACGTCTTTATAATCGCAAAGTTCAAGTCCATACGTAAGTACCGGAACCGCCAGTGTTTAATATAGATGGACAATAGAGCTTGGATGAGCAAAACGAATTCCAGACTGAAAAAAAAGTTTGGATTATTGCCCTGAATTTTGATATTCTATTATCAATGTTTAAACAAATAAGTGAGACAAAAGAAGAGCTTTTAGTATCTAATATAAAACCTAGATGATTAAGTTTATCGCCCAGTTTTATTTGTAGGTGGTCCATTGATATCGCGCAGTTTGAAATTTTTTTTTCCGGTGACCAAGAACTCGAATTCAGAAAAGCTTGAGGGTTTGGAGTTTCTGGAGGAAAAGAATGGGAAAGAAGATTTATGCTTGGATTAAAAAATAAAATGGCTTTCTAAGCAACTTACTTACAATTTGAAAGCCACTTTAAAAAATTCAAAATAAAAACAGCAAAGCAAAAATAACAATGTTCACTTACTATTTCAACTTCTCATACAACTAAATTAAATTATTAGTTATTAAATTCTTTTAACAAATTTTAGCAACAGGCAGAGAGAGAGAGTAAGCACCGTGTGAAACAATAACATAAAGAATTAGAGGGTATATCTAATGTTGAGGTTGATACAGATACTAGTAAGGACTCCTTACGTGATTTTGATTATAATCCTGGAGAGAGTGTTTTGAAAGAAAACATTTTCAACAAAAAGTCACTGCTGAAATTCGCATAGATGTTTTCGCTGGTAATGTAGCTCTTTCTTGCTACAATCAGTGATGTTTCTCTAATTGTTTTGCATAAAGTTACAAGTGCAATTCTAACTCAATCACAAGCTGATTTGACAGATTTTAAATGTAGCCAGTCTACAGCAGCTAGGAAAATGAAATATACTAATTGTAATATATGCATGATATCAAATGAAGATGTTGAAGAAGAAATGAATGAACCCCTATACCCAAGCATAGCGCATTTTGATGGCAAAACATTAATTGAACTAAAAAAAAAGGAGAAACAATCTATTGCCTCTATTATTGGATATTCTTTATGATAATGAATGAAAAAATAGTGATTTGTATTCTTCGTTGCCACGATAGCGTGTAGTTGCTTACGATTCTTTTATAACTAAATGACAATTTATTGTTTTACATCTGGCTTTCCGCCGGCATTTGGTCCTAAAATGACGCCTTACAAACATTCAAAAGACGTCTTTTTAGCACCAAATACAGGCTAGGTTAGTATATGTAACTTTATTTAGTTATGTATAGAGAAAATAATGAATTAATTATAAAATTGAACTTGTAATAAATGTGAAATGTGAACTTTATGAGTTCGTGTTTGCTAATTTTTAATTTTTCTATTTTTAAAACATTTCTTTTGATATCACAATTTATTACATAATGGTGTAAGGGTTCATCCATAATGGGCGTCGAGCAGAATTTAAATAATAATTAAAAGTAGATGATCATTGGCTTTTTTCTGCAGAGATTTTCATTGAACATTTGAGAATTTTGAGCTTTAAGAATCGCTCTTTTATGCCCACTTGTAAAAAATATATATATTCAAAAAAATACTTTTAAAATGAAAGCGATAACGATATATTAGGATTACAAACAAATCAAATGTATTATTCTTTATTCTTTATTTATAAGATTAATAATAAATAATTACCTGGTTATTTTATAATATAAAAATATTATATATATTATATAGATATCTATACAATTTATTATCTATATCTATACATTTATAAAATTATCTATTATCTATTTTCTATATATTTATATTTATATTATACATTATATTTATATTATATATTGTTATATTTATTATATTATGTATATATATATATATATATTATATTATATATCATATTA